TCTAACCATGGTTATATAATAGCAGCTGCATTCTGGCGCGATAAGCTCTGTTTTTTATTCAATTAACATATGATCTGATTAGTCGACTAATCGAAAAAATAATCTGTGATTAATCGATTATAAAAATCGTTTGTGGCAGCCCTAATCATCTGCAAATAAAACATATTTAAAAACTCCCGACACTTTAACCAAATCATTCACATTTAAAAGAAATAACTTCAGACCAAGTACAGAACCTTGAGGAACTCCACATGTGATGCTAGTCTTAAATTTATTTAAACAAACTGTTTTCTCTCTTTCAAATAACTAGATACCCGCTGCAGTGCTGGTCCTCTAATATCGTATTGATTCAGCTTCTCAAGAAGAATAATGTGATGAATGTTATCAAAATCTTTGTTTAAATCAACATAAACACATTATAAACACATTGTTCTGGGTCGGGCCACCCCCTAGGGTCAAGGTGTCATATTGATTTGTCGTTCTCCTCCCCACCACACAACCAGATCCTTAAACAGACTGAATTCAAGTATCATGAGTGATAAAAGACGTCTGTTTAACTATAAAATCAACTAAAGTACATTCTGTTTAAGGTGACCGTGACATAAGCCCGTCAAAACAGAAACCAAATCAGTTTAATCATTAAGTTAGATAATTATGTAAAACAGGTTAAAACATTTCCTAGTTCTCCTAGGAAGTAAAGCTGTGTGAAGTGCAGTAAAAACCAGTAAAACAGAATAAATTTGATCTATGCTGCAGGTCAGACGATTTGTTAAATTTAACTTTAGATGTAAAGAGTTTAAACAGAACCCGGATAGAAGGGCTGGATCAGACCAGGTGTCTTTCTGCCACGTTTTCATGCTTTTATTCAGGAAAACAAATAAACCTGCAGGGTTTGTTCAAGAGCAGGAAGTCCTTTAAAAATACTGTTTACCTTTCAGATTAAAAGCCCAACCTTCAGCCTGCTCTGTGAGTGAGGACAGAATAAACAGGTTGATGGATCAAAGTCTAAATGAAACTTCGGCTGTTTTTAAAATAAGCTTCAGCTCTTTTAGAAAATCACAGCAGAATTTTCTGCATAAAGTGATAAATTATTAGAAGTTCTGAACTGGTGTTTCCGGGTCGACCCGGCGGTCTGGAAGCCTTGGATTAGGATCAGAGCTTTAAGGCGGGCAGCGTTAACGAGCTCTAATGGGTTTACAGTTGAGCCGGGTCAGAGGTCCTGCAGGGTCTGCTCCGAGGCCCAGGCTAACTGTAAACAATCTGTTTGTTTGCTGCACCCCGCCACAATAAGAGTCTTGTTTGATTTTCATCCTGTTTGTCTTCTGTCTTCCAGAACCAACGGTTCCACCGAGCTTCGATACAGAAAACTGTGGGACTGGGATCTGCCTCGGTTCTGTTCCACGCCCCCCCTTGGAGTGGCCCACGCAGATCCGCACCCCCACCCCCCACGCTGTAATCCTCTGAAGGCCCGTCGGTTCTGCACATGCTGGCCTTTTGTCCCGGCGGCTGTTGTTGCAGCGGAGGCCTCCCTGAGGAGAGGCCATGAGTGAGGACAGCCGGCCGCACAAAGAGCTGACGGCGGGACAATGAGCTGCGGGGCCCGGAGGGCGGGGCCTGACACTACGTGATGAGGGACGGCCATTATCGCCGCACGCCAAACACAAGCTGGACCTGAGAGCCTCCTGCTGCTGCCGGCTGACAGGCATGCAGTGACAGACTGACAAGTTCACTTTTCTGTTTTTGTTTCTTTAGTTTGACAGAGTTTTAGTTTCTGGTTGAGTTTAACTCGGCTCCGCTGCCAAAAGTGCCTTTTTTCTGACTGTTCCCACACCTGGCTCCTCAGTGAGGTTTCCTCACCTCAGACTGTAAAGGAAACGAACGGGTCGACCCGTGAGCCGCCGCCATGTTGACGTCCAAGTGGCGCTACCTATTCATGTTCCTGGGCATCCAGCTGGTGGTCATGGCGCTGCTGTCCAGGGAGGGCTACCACAAGAGGGTCTCCTACTTCATCCGCATCTTCCGCAAACCCGACTCCACGGGTCCGCAGCTCCAGAACCGCACCACCCTGCCCATCCCCAAAGGAGATGTTTACGCCAACCTGTCCCACCTGTCCAAACCCCAGAACCACCGGGACGACATCCCCATGTGCCCCAAGACGTCCCCCCTGATCGGTGAGTCCTCCTGCGTGATGATGAGTTCATCAGGTGCTGCAGGTGTTTGTTTCTGTGAGAAATCTGCTGAACTTTAGTCTGTTTACCTGCTTCAAGACTTTAGCTGCTTCAAAACTGTTAGCTGCTCCAAGACTGTTAGCTGCTCCAAGACTGTTAGCTGGTCCAAGACTGTTAGCTGGTCCAAGACTGTTAGCTGCTTCAAGACTGTTGGCTGCTTCAAGACTGTTAGCTGCTTCAAGACTGTTAGCTGCTTCAAAACTGTTAGCTGCTCCAAGACTTTAGCTGCTTCAAGACTTTAGCTGCTTCAAAACTGTTAGCTGCTCCAAGACTGTTAGCTGCTCCAAGACTGTTAGCTGCTCCAAGACTGTTAGCTGCTCCAAGACTGTTAGCTG